CTTTTTATTGCTGAGTAGTATTCCTTTGAATGGATATACCACAATTTGTTTATCCATTCACCTGTTGGACATTCCAGTTGTTTTCAGTTTTTGGCTGTTACAAATGAAGCTGCCATGAACATTTGTTACAAATTTTTGTGTGAACACATGCTTTATATCTTGGGTAAATAAATACTTAGGAGTGGAACAGCTTGGTCATATGGTAGGTATATGCTTATAGTAATTTATTCTTATTGTATTTTACAAATGCATTAGTCCACCAAGGATTGGAAATAAAACTATTCTTTCACCAAATGTATTATGAGAAGTACTAGCCTAGAAGATATACATATGTACGTAGCTACATTGTTTGTAATAGCAAAAAACTGGAAGCAATCCAATAATCCATCGTCAGGAGACTGGATTATTAAAAAGAGATATATATTTATTCAGTAGACTACTTTATGACAATGCAAACAGATGAACTAAACCTGTACTAATATAAATGGATAAATTGTAGGAGTTTAAAGTTGACTTTAAAAAGCAGATTGCGAAAGAATGCATATGGAATGATTCCATTATATGAATTTTTAAAACAAACAATATTAAATGACATATTATTTACAAATACATACATATGTGGTAAACTATAAAGAAAAGCAATAAAATGATAATACAAAACTTAGGATAGTGCTTACTTGGGGAGGGCTTGGGAATACAGTGAAGGAGATGGAACCAAGGAAGGGCAGACAGAAGCTTTGAGACTAATGGATAATTGTGTATTTCTTAAACTACAGAAATTCATTTTGATGTTATTTTTTTGTGCTTATATTTTCTTATAAATTTCCTTTTGTGTATATTCATATATAACAACAAAATTTAGAAAAATCTCTGAATAGTTAAAAAGGGAGTTTGTAAAGCAAGAAAAAAGGCACCAGTTACAAACTATCAAGGATAGAAAAAAGTCTAGGCTTTGAGTAAATATATATTTGAATGATAGGCTATTAGGCATTACGTTTGTAAAAATTGGGGCATTAAACTAAATTATCATAGAATATTTAGTTAAGAAGTATAGTAAATATGGTATGTTATTCATTAGAATGATGCCTTGAAGCCACATAATATGGTGATTGAATCAGTTAAGAATATGTGTGATAGATTGTTTAAAAAAACTATAGTCTCATCAAGTTAAAAATGCATATCTTTCATTTTTATGATAAATGAAAAATGGTTTACAGAATGTGAAATGAGAATCAAAAATTGGTAATCAGATATGCTGTGTTTCCCAGATGGATGGAATTTATACTTGGGTAGGAGTTAGGTTAAAAGCCAGAAAAGATGGAAGAAATTGAGTTGAAAATTCCCACTAAAAGAAGATAAAACTGAATTCTTTGCTAAAATAAACTTTAGGGCATGCCTTGAGAAATTTGTTTGTCTTTTTACATTTTTAATGACTTAATGAGAAAAAACATACATCAGAGCTCCCTTTCTGGTAAGAGGTTTAGTGTTTCAGAAATGTGGAGGGAGCTGTTCTCCATAGAGAGATGAACAGCCTCCTGAGTCAGCACAAGTCCAAGGAAAACCCTTATATCAGAGGAAGCAGCAGTCTGCCAGTGTCAGATCTGAGATTTCCAAAGGGCAGGAGAGAAGAGAGTGGGCACTGATATTTAATAAGCATTTACTGTGCCCAAGGCGGTGGATTTGATATCTCGTACCTGATATGCTTACTGTTTAGGGCTAGGCTTTTCTTACCTTTAAGGTAGATGTTATTATTCTCATTTTACATGTAATATGATGTTTAAATCAGTTAAGGATATGTGATAGATTGAGGTAACTGAGACATAGAAATTCAAAACCTTGCCAAAGATTTCAGAGGAGGCAAATTTAAACCCAAATACGTTTGATTCCAAAGCTCATCTTCTTTCTGCTATTAGTAGCCAATAATTATTGAGCGCTTACAATATTTGTACCAAGAACTATTCCAAGTGATACATAGATTTTCTCTTCTAAGCCTCACAACACTATAAGATAAAAATGATTATTATCCCATTTTACAGATGACAAAATGGAGGCACAGAAGGTTAGGTAACTTGCTCAATGTCCTACAATTAGTAAGTGGCAGAGTTGGTCCAAACTCAGGAGCCCACACTCTAGACCTCTTTTGCCTCTTTTGAGTACATTTGCCCTTTCAAGGATCAGGCTTGATTCTGTCAAGGAAACCTTATGACTCCTAATAACTTTTGAGCCGAGAGTCATGGAAACTGATTTCTTCCACCTAGGTACTTTTGGACTATCTCACTTCCAATGATCCCTTCTTTACTAATTGGATCATACCCTCTAAGATGCTTTGCTGCTGGAATAAGTGGTTTGGGAAACATTTCTTAGGTAGTTCTAACAAGTTTAGCTAATTTATTCCTATTTTTTTGCATGCTTTTTGAGATCCTTTGGGCTCATTGTTTTCTACGGAATGAGAATGAATCCTTAATAGAACTTTCAGTCCTCTTAAACTCTTGTTGGGGAAGAGGGAGAATCCTCCTCACCTTTTCCCTTAAGGTTCTTATGGCTGGTCAAATAATTGAAAGACAGGTTAACAGGAGAAAATAGTACCAAGTTTAATAACGTGTAAACATGGGAGATATGAGGAAAACTGAGTTTCTCAACAAAATGGTGGAGGTTCTCATCTTAAATACTATCTTCAGCTAAAGACAAAGGAGGATGTTGGGGGTGGGGAGAGTCAGTTATGGGAGATTACCAGAAAAGCACAGTAAACAAGAGTAAGGTTATTATGCAGATTTAAGGCCTCACCTTCCATGTTGATAAATTTCTAGAGATGAGGTCATCCCCCCTCTTCCCAGTACAGAGAGGGAGATACCTTTACAAATGGAAATTTCCCTTATAAATGTAAATGTTTGTCTGACAACCTTTTACAGGACCACCTAGAGAATGTGGCCTGGGAGAGACAGAATTTTTGATAAGATGGGCTTGGGTGGTGCCTTTCCTATTGTAACATCTATTTTACATTATATTACAGCCATCATATGGTAGTGGCTCCTTCCTGAAACAGACCTTCAATGTTAAATTCTTTAGGCAGTTTGGGGGAAGTCAAATGTCCGTCAGAGAAAATAATCAAAGTAAAGAGATATATTTCAGAGTGACCAAATTTGATCTCCCACACTCTCATACTCCATTCTTTAACATGGAATTTCCTTAGGACTTAATTTAAAACAAATGGCAGTTAAACATCATTTAAACCATTTGGTGGGATTATAACTCATATTCATTCTATTCTGAAAGTATTTGAAGTACATTTAAGTAAAAGAAATCAATACAATGGAATAAATACAATAAAAACTCAAGACGATATAGAGAAAACAAGAGATAGTTATACCAGAAACTTAAGGTATTTTAGTTAATTCCCGTAGAGCATTAAATGATGGATTTCCTGGCAGCTGAGGCAATAGAGGAATATAATTGGTCAAATAATTTTTTTGTATTTTCAAAGAAGGTAAAGTAGTTCATTGGGGAGGATGGCTTACGGTGACAGGCCAGTTGATAACCTTTTCCTTTCTAGAGTTAAATCATATGCCCGGGAGCACTCAGATCTTAAAGTGCTGTAGTTGAGACTTGAAAGAACTGCCACTGATAGTCTTTAAAGAGGCACCAGGGCAATGCTGGAATTCTTGCTTAGCAACACTTAAATTTAGGCTTCCTCCTCTGGGGAAAATCTGGGTTCTGGCTCACTCCCTCCTTTGTTCCGGTCTCTGTGCAAAGGTCACCCCCTTCTCTTAACATCCTCTCTAAATGAGGAGCCCACTCGCTGCACCTGCCTTACTCTCTGTATCTGCATTGTCCGATGTGGTAGCCACTAGCCATATGTGACAATTAAAATTGATTAAATTACGTAGAATTAAAAGTTCAATTCTTTGGTCATACTAGCCACATTTCAAGAGCTCAGTAGCCACACATGATTAGTGGTTATTGTATTGGACAACACAGATATGTCATTGCAGAAAGTTCTATTGGGCAACGCTATTTTATGCTCTTACCCTGGCTTTCGTTTTCTTTTTAGAACTTTTCTGGCTTTATGCCACACACTTACTGATTTATTTGTTTATGTTCCACTAGAGTGTGTGCTCCCAGTAGCAGAGATTTTGTTTTATTCTAGAACATTGCTGAATCCTAAGTGCCTAAAGCAGTGCCTGTTAGAGTTCTCTGTAAACACTTGCTGATTGAATGAACAAATGAATGCAGGAATGAATTTTAGTCTTATTTTGCTGTTTCAAATAAAAAAATAGTTTGATGTCCTTGGGTGACCTGGTACACTTTTCTGCCACAATTTTTAAGATGAAAGAATGAAAATTCTATAACCAAGGACACATATTTTTAAGATAACATGATATTATTAAATAATACTAACCAAACTTTTGTTTCTTTCATCTTTCATATTGTGAAGGATAATCAGTCTGAAAATTCTGCTTAAAAGATAATATATTGACCTGAACATGGGTATAAAATATCAATTTTCTTTGGATTAAGAAGTTGTGTGAGTAGAATGAGAAAGCAAAGTACTTATTATATAGCTAATTGGACTTAAACTGGTATGTAATTTAAAGCAACTGTGATACAGTGCAATGGAACATACTAAAAGTAATATTGTGCAATTATCACAATACATACACATGGTGTGAAACCATAATACATTCTAAAATTGTATAGAAATGTCAATTTACCTAGTTAATTTCAAATAAAAGTTATCCATGAAATGATTGCAATGCCTAAAAGGAATTTGCTGTTTGAACAAAATATAACTAGAAGCATGACTACCCTAGGTTTGCCTATCAATAGACATTGAAGCTAGTTTTGTGATTTCTGCCAAGGAGACAGCTTCAGTAGCCTTGAAAAAGATTGTTTTTCTTCTCTGGGGCCCAGCTTTGTCAGGATACACTTGGAATGATGATGGAGGAGGGAGGTACCTAGCAGAGCCAGACAGGTCTAGTCAGTCAACTTGCACAGTTAGCCAAATGGTAGATGTCAGTTGGCTGTCATGCCCAATTCCAGTTACTGACAATCAGGAATTTGGTAAAGCAAAAGTATTTTCTCCTTCACTCTCCCTTTCTAAAATGCAGATATTTTCTGAGTAGTATTAGTTCTCAGTGGATTTGCAAATGCGGATCATGGGGCATCTCTAAATCTGTGCAGGATTGGTATTCTTTTTCTATTTTAAGTAAAAAACACCATGGTTAATGTCCTTGGATAACCTCATATACTTTCATTGGTTTTCAAATCAGGTCCAGTGAAGGGCCGAGTTTTTCATAAAAATAATGACTAATTTTGGAATCCCATATGTTCAGCTCAGGTTTCTAAGCTGCAATAAATATGAATTAAGGATTCATCAAGATTTTTGTATTTGCAATTTCAATTCTTGGTTCTTTTTTGAAAATCTATTTTATGTATATATCTGAATTTTTTTGTTTCCTTAGGTGCTGGATCTGGAGTACAATTTTTAAAACTTTACATCAGTTCACTTTCTGTTAAGACCTTAGAAGTTGTTTTAGCCGCCAAGAGAGCATTACCTGTGTACTGAGAATAATATGAGAGCCGTAGAGTGCCTGAGTCTATTTATTTTACTCACACAGAGTAAAGAAAATGACCCAGTGACAGTTTTCTATGACATAGAAGTGGGACAGTAGTTGTGAAAAAGAAGCTAGCTGAGGTGCTTAACACACAGTTCATAGTAATTTTAAATTTTTCTAATACTTGGCTATGTAGTCAGGGTTCCTTTGCCAGGGTGAGGGTCTGCTGAAGAGTTCCTGAGGTCACTGTGGGGAGATGCGCTGCCAGACCTCTTCCCTCCAAGGGCTTTGTAATGGGTCATGAATTCAGAATTGACCTCACAGAATGTGACCATTACTGATGGAAAAGCAAAGTCAGCATCACCTACAAAGATAATTTTTCATCTGTTCATAAGTCTATATGCTTATTGCCACATGTAGAAATTTGGCTACTCAAATAAGAATGTCTTTCTATCCAGAGACTGAACAAGCTAAACACCAGGAATATTCTACTCTGTACAGAAGAACATTGGTACTGAAATATTTCTTTCTCAGGTGATGCTTAGGATCTATCTTTTGATTTTAATCCATGTTGAGATTTGAAAAAAGATACTTTATTGAGACATGGGTTTGCAGGTTATTATTTTTTTTCTATGAGTATAATTTGGAGAAGAATACCAGATTGTCTTTAAAATCATGAACTCATGCTGTCTTCTAACTTGTATGCTGTCCCTTATAATAATTAGCACATACCTTTTCTGCCTTGAAGTTTGTAACAAATGTGAAACTGAGTTTCACAGGTTAATTCCAGCTTTCTCTTCATGGATTATACATAGTCCAGAAGCATCATGTTATGACGTTTTAAATTTCAAAATGTCATAATATCACAAGTACGTTGTAAAGTCACAATTGCTTCTAATTCAGTGTAACATCTCTTTGGTGTTAGTGTCCATTTGTTCTTCCATAACTCTACATGCCAGTATTTTGTCAGATCAATTCCTTTAGGGCAGAGACTACATTTATTTATTTAACTTTTTATTTTGAAATAACTGTAGACTTAGAAAAACGTTGCAAAAATACTACACCAAGTTTCACGTACCCTTTACGCAGCTTCCCCAAGTGTTAACATCTTATGTTACCACGGGACAACTATGGAAACCAGATATTGACATTGATACGATGTTATTAACCAATCTAAAGAATTTGTTCCAATTTTGCCAATCGTCCTACTAATGTCTATTTTTGGGTCCAGGATCCAATCCAGGATCCCACACTGCCTTTAATTGTCATATCTCCTCTGGAGGAGTCTATCTCTGTTTCAAGACTTTAATACTTTTGCAGAGTCCTGACCAATAATTTTGTAGAATATCCCCCAGTTTGAGTTTGTCTGGTGTTTTGTTATGGTTATAACTGGCTTAGCATTTTGGCAAGAATACCACAGAAGTGATGCTACACTCTTCTCAGTATATCAGAGGGTACACGATGTCAATATGTCTCATTGCTGCTGATCTCACTTTTGGTCACTTAGTTAAGGTCTACCAGGTTTCTCCACTGCAGAGTCACTATTTTTCCCATTGGAATTAATAAGTATCTTGGGAGGAGATGCTTTAAGACTATGCAAATATCCTGCTTCTCATCGTACTTCTTGCCCATTAATTTTATACTCCATTGATAATTCTTGCCTGCAACAGTTATTACTTGGTGTTTGCCAAATGCTGATATATTTTATTTCCGTCATTCATTCTACATGTATTAATTAGAATTCTACTGTAAGAGCTGTTCCTTGCTCTCCCATTTGTTCCGTTCTTATATCAGTGTAGACTCATGAATATTAATTTTATTCTATGGATTATGATTCATTACTATAATTATTTTGTTTACCAAATTATCCCAGATTTGGCCACTGGGAGTCCCTTTAGGTAAGCTCTTGTGTCCTTTGACATATTCCCAATTATTTTTTTAAAGCATTTTGTTACTTACCCTTTGGCACCGCAAGATGTACCAGGTTCATTTTGCTCCAGCCCTAGAAATGGTCATTTCCCCAAAGAGCTCTAGTTCTTTTAATTGGAGATTGATATTTAGAAACAAAATTTGGGTGCAAGGGATGCTGATTGCTACTGGTATGTCATTGCTTCTAGGACCTCTCAGCTGACAGAGCTAGGAAATATGTGCATGTATAAATACACATAAACACCTCCCTCTCTATCTATAATCTATCTAATCTATTGTCTATCTGCCTATCTCATCTATCTCTATCTCTATCTATCTGTATTTATTTATCTATTAAAAACTATTAGTTCATCCTGATACTTCTAATTACAACCCAATCCCTCTAGTTTCCTTCTAGACTTCTCTCTTTCTTTCTTTGTAATCTCTTTCCCTAACAGTGAGAAACCTGGGTTTCATTATCCATAATATATTACTTATTTGATCAACCCTAGTATACTTGTAAAGAAGTTTCAGAATTGTGATCCCATAATCCCTGTGAGAAACAAATTTGCTAGCTAGACTATAGAGTTTGGGTACAGTTCTTTTCGTCTTTAGCTTTACAGTATATAGCAAAAATACAAATTTCCAGAATTACTCAGGTTATATCTTTTCTTCTCTACCCCTTTCAATGTGGTTCTCTTGCTCATTTGTAATACAGCTGGGTTCATTTGTTACTGTTTGTGTTCCATTTGGGTTCCCCGACACATAGAGGTTGATTTTAATTACTATTTATTTGGGAGGTATGTGAAACATTACTATAATTCTAAGAACCAGAACCCATATGTCTTTTCTATATGAAAAGACATGCAGAAAAATGTCACTCCCCCCTCATCCCCTGTATCACATTTCATTCTCCCATTCTTTCCACCCCATTGGTAGGTAGGTAACCAATTGGTAGGTAATCAGTTTCATTAGTTTCTGGTTTATTCTTCTATATTTGTTTTTGTATAAATAAGTAGATACATATATGTTTTCTTATACAGTGACTACATTTCAATGTCTTTTTGTGGTACCGGACAATTTGAATGCTGTTTGGTGATTTTATCTCTTAAGGGTACTGTTCAAAATTGATCATCCTTACTGCTAAGGTATTAAAAAGCTCATGAAACTATTCTTTTCTTTCTTCAAAAATATTTTTGGGAATTTTTTCTGGAATGAAAATGACAACATGAATTTTGATGAGCTCATTAACACTGAACTGTCTATTCCTTAATAGAATTTGTCTAAATAATAGTAACATAAAGCAAACAGCAATGTTTTTCAGGTTCTTTAACCCCATTATATATATTTTTAGCAAGATATTTTAAAATTTTTTCTCCTTATTAATCGAATTTGAATTATTTCAAGCATCAATGAGAGCTGCTAGACTATTATATAAAATATGTATTTTTTTCTTCTGGAGGTCTTGTCAAATAGCTTTTCTTGCAAACAAAGTGAAGCAAAATATTTCCAAGTCTGTTTGATCGTGCTCTGGTGCATTTCATTGTGCACTCTTTTTTCTTTTACTCTGCAGGCCTTTGGGCAGTCCTTCTCCATCCACCGGAAAGTTGCTGAGGATGGAGAGACTCGGGAGGAAACGCTTCTGCAGGAGTCAGCATCGAAAGAAGCTTACTATCTGGGGAAGATCCTGGAGATGCAGAACGAACTGAAGCAGAGCCGGGCTGTAGTTACGAACGTTCAGGCAGAAAATGAGCGGCTCACGGCCGTGGTGCAGGATCTGAAGGAGGTAAACAAACAACAAACACATTCCCTGCGAGAGATTTGTGGGAGCGAGAAGTAAGATAAAATTCTCTCTAGGAGAGAGGAATAAAGCTTTTTCTTTAATGAGAGGAGCTGTATTAAATAAGAAGCACGTAATACTGATGCTTGCAATTTTTCTGCTTTTTTAGTGAAATAACAGCATGTTCTCAGATGAGCTTTTCCCTCTTTTATTGTTTGTTGAGAATTCAAGTCTTTATTTATTGAGTCCTTGGGAATTGGCCTTGCAATTTCTGCAAAGATGTTTAAAAAATATAGTGACCTTAGTGCTTCCTCCTGCTTTACCTGTTTTAAAACAATGTGGAGAAGGATGGTTGGCTGTGATGCTCTGTGTCAGCACTAATTCAAAATGACAGTAGTGGTTGCTCAGGACTCTTCTCGCTGGGGAATGAGCCCCCAGGGGAGTGTTCTGAAGGGTCTTAGAGTCTGGCAGGGCAGAACCATAAACTGTTTTTCTGGTTGTAGAGAAGGCAGCAAATTATAACTGGTATGACTTAGGTCAGGGAGCCTTCTTCAGTCCCTGGGTCTCTACTGGACTCACCATTTCCCTTCAGCTTTCCCGGAGCAGCATCATGTGCCAGGCCTGCTACCAAGTGAACTTATTAATTGAGGGTTTTAGTAATGGAAAAAGGTAGGATGAAAAAATTATTCAGTATTGTGAAATAGAAGTAATCCACTGATATTGTTATCTTGAAATTAATGACGTACTACAAATAGAGTTTCATTATTATGAGATATGTTGTCCAAAATTTATTGGAATTTAATCAGTTATTTACATTTACACATGTCCATATTATGATGAACTAAATGAATAGGGAAAGTAAAGTTTCTGCTTTACCCAGCTCATTATCTTTGAACACGCCCAAATACAGCATTACCACTTCTAGAGACAGAAAAAGGAGGCAACCAAGTGGAAGTCAGTGTTGGGTACAGAGAAGAACATGAGACAGTTTTCAGGATGCCCTGCCTCATTTCCCTCCAATGCAAATGCCTGTTAAAAACAAAGCTGCTCTAGTTCTTTATTTGATGCATCTGTATGTGCTGGGTTTTGGCCATCACCAGCTTACCCTTTGGAGAACCAGACCCTCCACCCCCTAAGGAATTGCCGTTCACCCGTCCAACCCCAGGCTTCTCTGTGAGACAGGCATCCACTACAGAGTAGACCCAAGGTCATGTCGTGCCATAGGCCACCATCCTGGATTAAGCAAGGCCTCAAACATCCACAGGGGGGCAACTCAGCAGCCATGAGCAGCAGGTTCACATGACAGGTTGGCAGAGGGGCTGTGACACGGGCAACACGAGGGCCATGGGCACATACATGCAAGTGATTAGTGGAGAATAACTGTGACCAATGAGTCAAGCAGTCTTGATTGCCAATTGGATGGATCCTCTGAAAGCCACCCATCCCCACTGTGTGCAGTAGCTACAGCTAAGGAAAGAACAGCAAAGGTTGAGGAAAGGGCAGAGAATCCACAAATGTTTTTCTGTTGAGGCAAGACGGTGGTGAATGATGGAGCATCCTTACTTACATACACCATGCGTGAGTGCAGTTTCCAATGAGTAGATTTATGATGAGCAGCAGGAGTTGGTAATTAAGAATGAGGATGTAAATTAGGAATGAACTGAGGCACCAAGGGAAAAAAAAATTTGAGGAGCCCTTCATTCAGATCAGTTCTCCAATTTGAGTAAGCATCAGAATCACCAAGAGAACTCATCAAAACAGTAGTCCTGGGCCCCACCCCCAGAGATGCTGATTCAGTAGGTCTAGGTGGAACCCAAGAATTTGCATTTCTAACAAGTTCACAGCAGGTGATGCTGTGGGTGCTGTTCTGGAGACCACACTTTAAGAACCACTAATTTAGACTTTTTGGCTGGCCCAAAGCTGGGGAAGGGAGTATCATAGGCTCATAATTTGGAAAATTGTTGAATGAATTACTTGGTTATAATCCTTCGATATCTATGCATTTTCAGTAGTTGATTTGCACTAAAAGAATAACTTGTTAATCCAAAGGTGTATATTTTTTAATCTAAAATAGCTTAATGCAATTTAGCTTATGAGTATATTCATTCAGGTTTGTCAGGTAACTAAAAGAAGAAAAGAACAGGTTGTCAGTTTCCCGATTTTCTAAGTGTGTCAACAATGTATTTGTTGATGTTCCTTCTGATGGGCTGAAAGCTAGTTGTATTACTTCACCCTGCAGGCCTGCGTTTTTCATCCAGGCCTCATGTTTTAATGTTCCTAATAAAACTATTATTAGCATTTAGAGCTGAGTACATTTGTAAAAGGGGAAAAGGAATAAATTCTATTTTTTGGGATGTTGATACAGACTTTTGATGGCTGGTGTTAAATTGAAATCTCAGATTTGTTTTTATTGTAGGCTCAGTTTTATTTATTTTTTTTGTACTCTGGGCATTGACTGATGCATAGTGTTTGGAAGAGAAATCATGAAATAAAAAAATCATGACCTGAGTGAGCATGAGAAATAGACAAGGGTAACGAACACAAAATGTAGTAAATCATCAGCTTGACAGATGCTGTGAGAATTTAATAATTTGATTAAGGGAATCATCTTTATTTGCTGAAAGGACTCATCTCTTATTTCAGTAAGATTGTTGGTACTGGCAGAGGTATATTTGTGGTGTGTGTATTATGGAAGCTTTATACATGTTTGCACACATACCTGTGCAAATGTATGTGTGTGTGTGTAATTCTAAGGTCAAATTCTCTTCCATATGTGATAGGTATAGGATAGTATAGTGGAAAAGATTGGAAAATTTCTGAATTAGGTGTTAGGAAATCAATATTCTCGTCTTAGCTCTGCTAAAAGTTTTAGAATTATATTCATGGTATTTGTCAAAGATTTTTTTAGTATACAGTAAATACATAATAAACATAAACTGTTACCATTAATAATTTTCTGCATCTTCCATAAAAATATTGTTGAAGATATCACTTAATATATAGATCCATATTCTTAGGTTAAAGAAACATTAGATAAATACTTCTTTGAATTTATTACCTTGAAAATTCTTTCTATTGACATATGAATCTGGCAGTAGGAATTACAGTATATTTTTATTTCTGCTTTGGTTGTTAAGAAGATTTAGCACTATGTTTATCTGTAAAAACACACCTAGATTTTTTTCATATAATTCTTCTCATTTTTAAACATTTTAATCAGTCTTATTCTATATATGTCTTGAATGGTGGACTACTTTAAATAATTTTTTAAAGTACAGGGAATATAAAGAAAAAAAAATCACCCAAATCAAAGAACCAAATTAGGAGTTAATCTTAACCAAATTAGGAGAGAGTCCTACAGGGCGAGTAATAAACAAAGAGGAGGGTAAATCCTTGGGTTGCCTTGACCAGCATCATTTTGGTAAGAGCTTACAGAGAACAGATAGGTTACTGTAGTGCCTAAGCAAATATATAGTAAACAAGTTTGGATTTCATTTTTCTGTCTCCAACCTGAGGTCTAACATACTAGAAGACAGCCTAAATAGGTTTATTTGGACAGTATTTTTTGACCACTTACTTTGTACTAAATTAAGTTAAAATCCACATTGATTACATCATAAAATAGGATAATGAAACTTTTAATACTACTGAATACTTTCAATTGTTAGTAAGATGTCAGAATTTACTGCACTATTTACAAACCATACAATGCAATTATACCAGTATTCCTAACCAAAATTAGTGTATATATAAAAAAGAGTTGTCACAGAACATAGACCCCTGCAGGTGGAATGCAGAAGATTGGAATTACAAAATGGATTATTGACTTTAGTAGAGATTAAGCCTGTACTTTAAAGTGCAAATAATTTAACATCTGTTGATTGCCAGACAGTGTGCCAGACACTGCTAAATTCTTTACATGGTTTAACTTGCTAACTCCTTATAACAGCTCTATTGAGGTGGGTCTTATTATTATATCATCCCATTTTACTGATGGGATATGTAAATCACAGAGAGGTCAAGTAATTTGTCCAAAGCACATGGGTAATAAGTGACAAGCCGGGATTTGAACCCAGGAAAACTGGCTTTGATCTAGATTTTCTTAGGCATGTCACTGTAGCTGCCAAGAGCACATTTTTCTCTTCCAAATCTTGCCTCAAGCTAATGAAATTTCTGGCACAATATATGAAGCTTTAGTACAGTAGCTAAATTTGTAACTTGGTAACATTTTCTTAGGAGATGGCCACTTTATTATTTATTTATTTATTTATTTTTTGCTGAGGAAGATTCCCCCTGAGCTAACATCCATGCCAATCTTCCTCTATTTTTTAGTATGTGGGCTGCCAGCACAGCATGGCCACTAATAGAGCAGTATAGGTCCACGCCCAGGAACTGAACCTGGGCCACCGAAGCGGAGCGCACTGAACTTTACCACTAGACCACCAAGGTTGGCCCTGGCCATTTTATATTTTAAAAGCTGCTTAATCCATATGATTTTTATTACATTTGAAGCTCCATTTTTTCCCTCCTTGGAGTATACAACCAAATTTCATGATACACCAGTGGCTTAATTTCCAGAAATCTATTATTATGCCAACATTTTAGGAATACATCTATTCCATCATAAAGAGTCCGCATCTATAAACTTTTAGGGCGTGAAGGCACCTTAGTGATTATTTGGTAAAGATTACTCCCAGGTCAATAATTCTTCTCCAATATCCCTGGATGGCCGTGTAAACTTAGACACTTCCAGGACTATGGAGAAGATAAACTGTGAGCTCTTTCAAGGAAGGGACTGTGTTTTGTCTGTCATTTATTTTTGGACCCCCAGCACCCAGCACAGTGCCTAGCCAAAAGCAGACATTAAAAAGTAATATTTGTTGAGTTGAATTGAACTGAAAGTGCGTGCTTTGGGAGTTAGCTACCCCTGGGCTTGAATTCCAGCTGTGCCACTTATCAACTGTGTGATATTGGACAAGCTACTTTTGTTCTCTAAGCTTTACTTT